ACAAACAAGTTTAGTAATGTTTTCCATGTAATTCCATTATAGGCGTCCCGCCAGTTTTTATAGTTACTTCTGCCAGACATTTTCATTACTAATGCTCAGGAGAACATTCAGATTTCTAGAGGCTCCTCTGGAGGATTTCAGAGTCAGGATGTCTTCACTGAAAACATGATGAATGTTAAAAGTAAATGCCTCTCACACAGTGACTGATGAATAGTTAATTTTGCAAGCTGTTGCAAAATCATAGCCATGGCTTCACTGGTGAAACGGTGTCAATGGAGAACTTCCAAATTTGAAAACAACCGTGACCTAAACCAAAAAAAACCCCACAATCCTCTGCAGATATCTTCCGCTTTTTGTTTAGCATGGAAAGAATCTAAAGGAGTCGCATGGTTGTAACTTTGATCCTGATTGGACATGGGTCAAAAACCCCTCTCCCACATGTTGACAACACTTTCACCCACTTATTCATTATCTGATTGACTATGGCTCTCTGTGTTATTGTGACTAAAGGGAAGGCTCCCTTCCTGTTTCCTGTACTTTTTACCATAATCTCAAAAGGAAATATCCCATTAAATCACATGTATGTTAGCCTTTCGCACAGACAGTTGGGCTCAGGGTATTTCCAGCCTTAAGCCCCTGTAAAAGTGTCAAAAAAAAACTTGACAGAGTCCTGACACTTGATCCAGTAACAACAGCTGAGCCACAAAACATGTGTGTCAGTGTGCAAACACCAACTTGCTTTTGCCACGTTTCTCTCTCCATTAGGTATGATCATTAGTTGAAAAGATCCTTTCTGATTAGACTTTCGTCTGCCATAAAGAACCAGCACTTAAAATAAGCATGTCACAACATGTCCAGGTGTAAACAGCATGTAACACAAATGAGATTCTACACATTAAACTGAAGCCTCAAAGTATGATGACAACACAGCCTCTACTACATTACACACACGACAGAAGTTGTAACATGCATTTGATAACTGTAGCTTTAATAAAACATTTTTACTCTCAGAAGTATCTCATGTCATCTGGTAAGCTGTTCCAAGTTTGTATCCTCTAAAGGGAAACGATTTAGATCCAAATCAACAATATCTTGTCTTAGTTTGCCTAAAATTAAGTCTCTCATGCTCAGCAGAACAAGCAGAGGCTTTCAGTCCACTTGTAGTGAAGAAAGACATGAAGCCTTTTAAATGGCTTCTCTCACGAAGGTCAAGGGAAAGGTCTGTACAGTATTGTTGCACAGTTGGTGGGCTGCGTAGTGAAGGGCCGCATCGCCCCGACCAGCTGGCAGGCAATGTGTAGACTCCTTTGTTCTCACTGAGAAGCATCGGGATTCCCTCTACAGGACAGAACCGAGGTTACAGAACAAGGATGAATTGCTCACTATATGATAATCTTCAAAACATATGAAGACACTGTGCTGGTGCATTCATGTACATCAAGTCTCTGTAATCTAGAGCTGGTAAGAAGGTGGCAGCAGCCAACCAGCTCCTGGCTTTCACAGGCTAAAACTGTGCAGCAACCTCAGTCTCAGTTCTTGCTTTCTGCTTTCTCCAGGTCCATCCACATGGAGTTTGAGAAAGAAGTATATGTGAAAGGAATTCCAGCCTACCGCTTCACACCACCGCGCTCTGTTTTTGCAAGCAAAGAGGAGAACCCAGCCAATGAGGGTTTCTGCATCACCCCGAAGGAGTGCCTGGGAACTGGTCTTCTAAAAGTCAGCCCCTGTCGGAAAGGTATTCAGTACTGCTTTTCACACCTCATGGATTCAGCAATAAACTTTAAATTTTAACTTAAATTTACTTTGAAACCTCCTTTCTGCTCTCTACGCAGCACTCTTTAAATTTTTAAACCCTACCTAAGGATGCATAACACTATAATGCTTCTGTCAGTCTTATTTTATCCCCTGTGCCCAGTGTTGCTAATACCCCCTGAATGATCCATGTGACACAGCTCTACAGCTCCACACCTCAGGCACCATCTGACCATGACTCACACAGTGGCCGAGGGGGCAGTAAGCCCTGTCACCTGATTCTGGCCTTGAATATGACCAGGCGTTACCATAGTGCCTGTGTTTACTGCCCACTTATCACACCTGTTTCCCGAATACCCTTACTTGTGAAAGAGCAACACTGGTGTTTTATCATGTTGACACATGTATTATAAATATTTTGTCACATATGAGGGAGCTGTTACTTTCTCGTAACTTGCGTCAGAAATGAATTCCAACACATCGTGTCCTCGTTTTCATGCTTCAAAGTTACATTATTGTTGCAGTGGAATTCAGTCAAAAGCATGCAAACATGCAATAAGATGAACAGCAACAGAAAGTAGGTGGATTTAAAAGAATGTGCAGATGGTTACGTTTGGGGTCAGGGTCAGGTTTTAGGGAATGAACACAGTGATTAATGGTGCTTATAATTATAACAATACAAATGTGTGCGTGTTTGCACTAATGTTATCTTGAGGGTTGTCACAAGAACAGTCTCTCAGATGACTGCAGGTGTCCTGTGTTTTTGTTGAACGTCTGTTGCCAAACATGAGAGCAGGAAAACCGTCACCTCTGCCCTACTTCATCAGCATGTCTAGCTGTGCCACCATCTGACTGTGCTGTTGCTGTTGAGACGTGACTCTTTCAAAGCTGGACCGTTTTTGTTTTTTCCAAATTGCAGACATCAAGAATGACTTACTCCTGAAACGCACAGCTGGGACACAAATAGTCGATCGTACTGTTCTTTACTTTACCATAGTGTAGGAACGCAATGTCTCCTGTTGACAATATGAGGAAGGATCTCAGCAAGAGAAACACAATGATATAGCTAACAGATGCTGCCATTTATTAGTACTACAAGAGGTGCACTGCCAATAGCTCAATTAATGTAGCTATTGTTTATTTTCTTTGACTGACCTTGAATATCATGCTCCCATCCTGACGGAGGTCAGGTGATGTCTTGTCACCCTCTCCTGAGGACTGATGTTTGCTGATAAGAAGCTTTATTTATTGTCATTGTAACACGTACAACGAAATTATGTGTGGAGCAACTGCCCTACCCACCACACCACTGTTGCCTCAGTCGATAAGATCTTTAACTCATTTAATATGCAATGCAGTGGTGGAAGAAGCACTCAGATCTTTTGCTTAAGTAAAAGTAGCAATACAACAATGTAAAAGAAAAGTACAAACGTATTAGCATCAGAACATACTTAAAGTTCTAAAAGTAAAAGTCTTCATTATACAGAATGGCACATTTCACATTCCTGTTTATCATATTATTGTATTATGATTACGCAATTATGCATGATTGTGCATTATTATACATCACATTTAATGTTGCTGTTGGTAAAGGGGGAGCTAGTTTTAACGAGCTTATATGCATTTCTTTTGAATTACTGCTGGGTAGCTTGTGACCTTTCCACCATAGATCAGTGAGGTCTTATAAATGTACAGTATTTTTTGTATTAATCTGGTTCTGGAAAGTATAGTAACTAAAGTTATAAAATAAATGTAGTGGAGTGAAAAGTACAATATTTGCCTCTAAAATGTAGTGAAGTCAAAGTATGAAGTAACTGAAAATAAAAATACTCAAGTACAGATGCCTCCAAATTGTACCTAATTGCAGTACTTGAGTAGATGTACTTAGTTACTTTCCACCACTGATACACTGTAGAGGTCATCCTAATACTGTCTGTCTGTTACAGTATGTGACACATAAGGATACTCACTAATTAATGTGTGAATCAGCCAAATGAATGGCCTTGTTATGAAGACATGCAGCAGCTCCAGGGCCTCTTCATGTCTTATTAAACCATAATTAGAGGTGTATCAGAAGAGGAAGCATTGACATTTCCCCCACTTAATTAGGTAAAGAAAGGAGAACTACTTCTGTTGAAACTGATTTAGTTAGATTAAAGCCATACAGTGCATGTTTGATTAATGCTTTACTCAGCTTAAACTTGCCACTTTCTGTCTCTTTCTCAAAGTCCCCTCTCTTCTCTTCTCACAGGCGACCCAGTGACGGCCTCTTTCCTTATTTCTACCTTGCAGAACCTAAATGTGGCTGGCATTGAAGGAGTGTCCCCCCCTAGAAAGGATCA